GCTGCCGTGGCGCCCGGTGCGGCCAGATCCCTGGGGGAGCGCAGGGCTGGGCAGATGGCCCCGCGGCGTTTTTGCAGCGGAGAGTGAGGGGCTCTGCACCTCTGCTCCTGCGCAGGCACCTGGAGCGTAGCCAGCCCACCAGCCAGAACTCCGAGTGTAGAGGGATAGGGAATTCCGCTGCTCACCCGCAGGAGGTGTCGCCCACACTTGGCTACCACGAATCTCCCTAAAACACTCGCGGACAGCAGGGATTGTGTTGCGGAAAGAGATGAAGGGAGGGTTAAAATCTGTGAGTTAATCCATCCTCTTTATCCTGCTCAGTTTGACTGGCAGGAAGGGAGAATCCGTGCCACTCTGCAGTTTATCCATAGCGTTCTAAGAGCCTAGCATTGATCTAGGAATTTTCTGTTTCTTGAACACCAAACCTGGGTAGAGAGCTGCAGAAAGAATCTTTTGGGGGTTTCCGCCAGTGAGGTGGCAAAGGGATTTTCCAAAGTTCAGACTTCAGCTGGTCTGTCTGCCTGTTTCTAACGTATAACGCGCGGGGACATTTTAACTCTCACTTCACTTTTTGTAGGTTCAAAATGGAAAGTATTTATTGACCAAATTAACAGGTCTTTGGAGAATTACGAACCATGTTCAAGTCAAAACTGCAGCTGCTACCATGGGTGAGTTCTTTTCTTTGCTGCGTATTTGAGAGTTTAGATCTTGTCACAAGGAGGTACCTAGAGATCTGAGACTTTGGTTGCATTGCGGTCAGAGGGTCAGTTTTTGAGAGCCGAAAGGGTGCCTTCGGAAAGGTCGCTTTCCCGCTTACAGGGGGTATAAAAATACTCTGGGATGGAAGAGACCCAGGTGTCTCAGCATCTCCACATCCTCGTGGGATTTAATGCATGCACTCCTGTTTTTTCCTGCTGGACTGAAAGCTTTCTGTGGTCAATGTCTGAGTCTTACTCACTCTTGTACCCCTGGTACTAGCCCTTAGCAAATATTCAATGAATATTATTGAAAGAATGAACATATCAATATTTATCAGTGAATCTAATCATAGGTTTCCCTTTTTTGTCGTTTTAATTTTTTTTTTTTTTTGTCATTGGGCACATGTACTTGCTGGAGAGAAGCAGAGAGAGACCAAGAGAGGAAAAGAGAAAACTCACCTTCCAGGGGGATGGCCATGTACAGTACAGTCCCTTCTCCATTCTCCTCTCAGGATTTTGGGAATGGGCATGTGCACACACCCTCCCCCAGCATGACTTTTTTTTTTTTTTTTTTTTTAAGAAGAATGTCAGATATAATGGCATGTACAATCTAAACAGGACAGGCTGATTAAGAATTTACATAATGTGGGGCTGGCAGGTAGAGTGGCGGGTAAGGGCATTGAACTCCCACATGGCCAACCGTAGTTCAAATCCCAGACCTGGTGGCTTCCTTTCTCACTTTCCCTCGCTATCTCTCTGTCCCTCTCTGATCAAATTAAAATAAATAAATAAATCTTTTAAAAAAAGAATTTACATAATGTAAAAATAAACGCATTAAAAGTTAGCCGTGTGGAAAGATACATACAGTGGGGAGAGTGGGTGACAGGAATCTCTTTAGTGATCAGTTCAGGCCCGGATGCAGTAATTACTTTCCCCTCCATTACAGCAAATGACTTTCACTAACACTCAGGTATTCCACTTAAGTCTACATACATACACAGGTGAACTGTGACCTGCTACACGTAGAGTCTCAGACTGCGTAACTCAGATCCGTCCGTGACACTCCCAAGAAAACAGTAATAGCCCCATGCAGGTGGTAGGAAGCACTGGTCTTTTATTCCAGGTTGGATTTGGAAAATGTTTAAGTGTTGATGTTAATATTTGTAAAGAGCATCTGTCTGCTTATGCTGTCTTCTTTACAATTGACATGCATTAGAGGGGAAAAACCTGGTGGTTTGACCTAACAATGATAACTACTCTTAAAAATGCAAGAACCTTTTAATAAGATATTTTAGCTACATATTTAACAAAAAATACAGCTTTATGCCAAAAGGTAGACGGAAGTACATCTGAAATTCAATGCTTTCAGTTTTACTATTCTGTAGTTGCTATCCCTGCCCCGAAGGATGACATTGATAAAATTACTTATTTTCCAAAGAGGCCCTGGTTTGAAGTCTAAGAGAAAATTCCAAAACAGAAGAAATGCCACTCTTTTTTTCTGGGGACTTTTAAGAAACTAGACAAAAATAAAATTATTCAAGGTTCCTATGTAGTAGTGTTTTCTGTCTGTATGTAGTTGTCTAGAGAACAAATAACATTGCAAACACTGCAAGCAGGTGGACTTCCGGTATAGCCTGTCAGCAGTCAGGTGCCTGGGGCAGTTTACTGTTGGCCGCTTCAACTGCCCCCTTTCTCCTGCTCTTGTGCCAACTGTTAATGGCAAATGTGTTGGGGGGGAGGAGTGGTTATACTTGACATCTTATGCTTAAAGATTCTCTGAGGGAGATTTTTCTAACTGAGTAGAAGCCACCTATAAAAAGGTTCTGCTCAGAAAGAAGATTCCTATGGCTCTGAATGCCTGTTAAACTCCCACTCAAAATGCAAGCTCCTACTGGGGAAAAAAGAGCATTCAGTTCTGTTATATTGGCAACTTAGAATGCAAAGTATTTTATTTTTAAACCTCTAAAGTTTTAAAACAAGGTGGTCTAGGTTAAATAATAGAGTCTTCCAAAGCTGACTTTGCTTATTTGGAGCTCAGTTTTTCTGCTTGAAGTACAAAACCAACTTCCTAAAACTCCTAGGTGGGAATACTACTGTTTTGATGATCTGACTAGATGAACTTGATCAATCTCAGTTGGTAATATCCCTTTTTTTCCTTGTTAAGGGTTTTAAAATTTTAGAGCAGCTGCCTTTTTCTAGTCTTACACTGATGGATGGTTTCATTCCAAACATCTCCTGGGAGGTATAGACCATATACAGGAATCCATCTTCATCCTTTTCACTTTCTTATACTTCAGAGAGATGGGCGTGGACACACTCACCATGCTGTGTCCATTCACCAATAGGAAGAAGGCTTGATCAGCATTGAGTTTTAGGCGCCTTCTAATTATCTTGATGAGCTCACTTATGTTGACATGGTCAGGTACCAGGAGCTTGGTCTTATCCAAGACCAGAGGCTGCTTCTCACCCTTGTACTGCTGTGTTCTCACTGGTGTTTTGGTGGGATGCTGCTCTCGAATAAATTGGACATCTATTCTCTGTTCGAAGGTGTGATGCTGCTTGAAGGTCTTCTCCGATGGCATGGCATGAGAGCTGGGCGGTGGTGGTGGGGCAGAGGGTCCCTACGGCTCCCTCCCCAAGCATGAGTTTTAAGGTGCTAGGTCCAAGACTCAAAGCACAGTCAACCATGTGGGGGTCCAGCATCTTAACCACCATACCACCTACCGCCCCTTTTTTTTGGGGGTGGGGGTTTGCCATAGGGCATGTATTCTCACTGGAGAGACAGAGCAATGGAAAGCAAGAAATCATCTTCCTGGGTTGATGGCCATGCTGCAGTCCCCGCTTCCATTTTCTAGGGATGTGGGGAATGAATGTATATGCCCTCACTGTTTTTCAAGCTGTAGGGTCCGGGACTTGAACCATGGAGTTGAACCACGGAGTTGGCCTTGTGGAATCCAGTGCTATAGCCACACACTACCTGCTGGCCCACCGTTTGTTATCTTTAAAGTGTACAGGGCATGGTGGTGCCTGCCTTACGGTAAAGTGTACACGTTAGGACTGGGTCATTGTAGTAGAAAGAGAACTTTGAAAGCAGGCTTGGGGTTTAGTCTCAGATCTCCCACTAGCTACCCTGTGGCAAGCCACTTCTCTGGATTTTAGATTCCTTATCACCTAAATAACAGGTCCTTTTCATTTCCTCACTTTGCTATTTTGACTCCTCCAAATATTCATTTAGGGGGCTGGCCTCATAGCGTAGTGGTTAAGAGAGTGGATCTCATATGATTGACTACATAGTTCAAGTCCCATACCTGACACCTTGAACAACACTGTGGGTACATGTTTGTGTGTGCCCAAAATCCCGATGAGATGAAGAAATGGAGGAGAAGGGATTACAGCATGACTGTACCCCACTTGAGACGGATGCTTTCTCCCTCTTTCTTTCTAGCAAACACACGTGCCCTCTGACTTATGAATAAATAAACAAAATGGCAGCCTAGCCATGGTGACACAGTGGCAGCATAAAAAAAAAAAATTTAATCTAGAGGCTCCCACTTAGGCTAGAGATTAAGGGAGCCAGATCCTACGTAGCCAATGTGCTTCCAATCCCAGCCCTGGCTACTTGAGACACATGCCGGGTGTGTGTGTGTGTGTGTGTGTGTGTGTGTGTGTACATGCCCAAAATCCCAGTGGGATGGAGAAATAGAGGAGAAGGATTGCAGTGTGACCATGTCCCATTTGGGACGCGGCAAGTACATGTACTCTCTGGCAATTAAAAAAACAATCATTGGGGGGCCAGCAGGTGACGTAGCAATGAAGGCGCTGGACTCCCACATGGCTTACCGCAGACTGAGTCTTGGACCTAGTGGCTTAAAACAATCACACAGGGCACGTGTGTGTGCATGCTCAAAATCCCAGGAGGAGAATAGAAGAGAAGAGATTACACCATGGCCATCCCTCCTGGGGAGTGATTTTTTTTCACTTTCTCTCTCACCTCTCTCTCTCCAGTGAGTGTACATACCCTGTGGCAAAAACCATTAAAAAAATCATTTCATGCTTTATGAGGCTTATCAAAAACGTACCACGTACTGAACCTTTTTTTTAATAATTATTTTATTTAACTTTATTCATTTATTTATTTATTTTAATTTGACCAAAGAGGGACAGAGTGAGAGAGAGAGGGAGGGAAAGTAAGAAAGCAAGCCGCCAGATCCAGAGCTCCAGCCACAATCGCCACGTGGAAATCTAGTGCCCTTAAATACCACACCACCTGCCGGCCCCCTGTACTGAGCTTTTAAAGATACAGAATAACGTAATTTCTCATTGCTGTGGTGGAGCATGTAGGGGTGGATGCAGGGCATGAAAACCACAGCAAGGGAATCAGAGTTGTAGGGTAGAAACTGGACCTCCCATGGGATTCAGAGGAGGGAAGGGGCTGTCCGTGTGACTGCAGTGACAGGGAAGACATGGTGTAGCTGGAGTAGTAAAGGAGGAATTTGAATCAATCTAGAGGCAGGGAGGAAGCAGAGACTTTGACTTGCTTTTTGCTTATTGTGGCTTTGTTGTGTTTGATGTTTTAAATTACCCCGATCTTTCTGGGAAACACAACTGCCCAGGCCTGCTCACTGTCCTGCCCTCAGTTTACTGTGTCCTCTAAGAGTACTTAGGAAGCAGGTGGAATGGTACCACCCTTTCGGTCTGCTTTTCCTGACAATTCCTATTCTTCCCCAGTATCATAGAAGAGGATCTGACTCCTTTCCGAGCAGGCATCTCCAGGAAGACGATGGCGGAGGTGGTCAGACGGAAGCTTGGGACCCACTACCAGATCGTTAAGAACAGATTATACCGAGAAAACGACTGCATGTTCCCCTCAAGGTAAGAGTTATGAGATATGCCCTCTGACCTCATTGCATGTAAGCTAACTGGATTCTGATCTTATGGAGAAGCCAATTCAGAGACTGACAAGCAAATCCCTTCTTACACTTTAGAGAGACAACAAAATAGTGCCTCGTTCTTCTCCTTGCCCAGGAATTTGTCTTGCCAGCTCCTCTAGCAAAGCCTGTGCCCTCCACTCTTGAGGCTTGGGCACCTCAGCGGTTGCACTAGCTATGGATCTGCCCTTTCTTAGCCTTCCCTGGATATAGAAGCCACAGGAAATGGACTGATGAGACCCAGCAGAGTGAGCTGGGCTGAAGGAAGAGAAGCGTAGGTATTTATTATCTGCCAAGGGCCAGTGTTGTTCTGGGTACTGAGTGTCCGAGCAGAGGGGGTGGAGCCAGGAGTGATGACCTGGTGCTGCAGATGACACCAGCCAGGACAGAAGGTATGAGAGCTGAGGTAGCTTGTCAGCAGGCTGAGGGCCGCGGGGAAGCAGGCAAGGTCGTGAACTGACCAAGAACCTGGGTGTTTAGTTAGGCAGCATTACAAACACCAAAGGACTGACTTTCATTCTGGAGTCTTTTTTTTTTTTTTTCCTACTTAAGTCTTTATAAAATTAGAACGACAGGGGACTAACCCAATAGCCTGATGGTTAAGGTAGCCAGATCCCATGTAGCTGACCATGCAGTTTAAATGCCAGCCCCGGCAGCTTGGAAAATATGCTGGGAACATGCATGTCCAAAATCCTGACAGGTTGGGGAAATGGAGAAGGAAATCCAGTATGACCACACCTCACTGGGGGTGCTTTCTCCATCTCCCCTCTCCCTGTCTCTCTCTCTCTCAGGAAGGTGCATGTGCCCTCTGACAAATTAAAAAAAAAAAAAAGAAAAGTACAAGAAACAGAAGGCAAAGTATTCCCTTACCTAAGATCTCTTTCTAAATAATTGTTGTTCTGTCATGAATAGTAAAATAAATGTGCAGTGTTACAAAAAAAAAAAAAAAAAAAAATATATATATATATATATATCCATTTGGACTTAAGAATTTATATTATGGTCTTTTTTTTTTTTAAGAATATGTATTATGGTCTTTAATAACAACTTTATTATAAATTGATGTGTGTTTACTGTCAAAATATGTAAAAAGCAACCAAGAAGAAAAATTGCTATCTCACAACCCTGAAGAAATCAGTTTTGGTTATGAAGTGTCGGGAGAGATGAGTTTTTTTAAAGAATTATTATTTATTTATTTATTCATTCATTCATTCATTCATTTTTAATTTGACCAGAGAGGGACAGAGAGAGAGAGAGAGAAAGCTGGAGTTTACTGTCAAAATATGTAAAAAGCAACCAAGAAGAAAAATTGCTATCTCACAACCCTGAAGAAATCAGTTTTGGTTATGAAGTGTCGGGAGAGATGAGTTTTTTTAAAGAATTATTATTTATTTATTTATTCATTCATTCATTCATTCATTTTTAATTTGACCAGAGAGGGACAGAGAGAGAGAGAGAGAAAGCTGGAAGGCGAGTCACGAGGTCTGGGACTCGAACTGTAGTCAGCCATGTGGGAGTCCAGCACCCTTAATCACCATGCCACCTGCTGGCCTCTGAGAAATGAGATTTGAATGGGGAAAATCATTAAGATATTTTAAATAGGTATTTGTTTCATTACTTTGGATAATAAAATGGGCCTTAAATACAAATTATAAGCATAGGGGAATTGTTATTTTCCACGAATGAGAAATAAAACACGAGTATAGATATTGTTGGATTTTGAAAGCTTTCTTAATGTTTAATAGTTTGCTGAACAATTCCTAGATAAACTGAAGTATTTTCAAAGTTTTTGAAGGGCATATATCTCTTATTCCTGACCCAAGAGCATTTTGGTCAGAATCATGAGCTCTTAGAAATGTTCTCCAGAGGGGCCGGCAAGTGGCGTGGTGGTTGAGGGCTCTGGACTCCTACATGGCCGACTGCAGTTCGAGTCCTGGACCTGGTGGCTTGCTTTCTCACTTTCCCCTTCTTTCTCTCTCGGTCCCTCTCTGGTCAAATTAAAATAAGTAAATAAATAAATAGAGTTAAATAAAATAATTCTTTTATTTCAGTTTGACCAGAGATGGATAGAATGAGAGAGAGAGAGAGAAAGAAAAAGAGAAAGAGAAAGCAAGCTGCCAGGTCTGGGACTCAAACTGAGGTTGGCCATGTGGGAATCCAGCGCCTTTAACCACCATGCCACCTGCTGGCCCCAATAAAACAATTATTTTTAAAAAAGAAGAAGAAGAAATGTTCTTTTTAAATTTTATTTATTCATCCATTTTTTTTTTATTTTATTTATTTTTAACTTGACCAGAGGGAGACAGACAGAGAGAGAGAGAGAGAGAACGTGAGAAAGCAAGTCACCAGGTTTGGGACTCAAACTGTGGTTGGCTATGTAGGAGTGCCCAGCACCTTAACCACCATGCCACCTGCTGGTCCCAGAAATGTTCTTAGGAGAGCATAGAACTAGGCCAATCAGTCCCATGACCTAGGGGTTAAGAGAGCTGGGTCTCACATGGTCAGCAGTTTGAATCCTGGTCCTGGAGGCATTAAAAAATATGCCGGGTGCCTATGTATGTATACCCAAAATCCTGACAGAATGAATGAATGGAAGAAAAAGGATTGTGGTGTGACTATGCCCACTGGGGGTGGACAGTTTCTCTCTCTCTCTCTCATTCTCTGGTGAGTGCACACACCCTCTGACAATGAAAAAAACTGTAAAAACATTAAATAAACTTATATATATGTGTGTGTATGTGTGTGTAAATATATATATATATATATATATATATATATATATTCCATTTTGCTTAATCCTTGAAATGCTGCCCCTAATATCCTGGCCGGGACCTAAAGGGTGGAGTGGAAGCAAACTAAACTGTCAGTGTATCTTTCAAGAAATCCTCTGAGGATTGCCAAGGAGTGTAGTCAGAAAACTGTGTTACCATCTTTGTGATTGTGCACATAGCACTTTTTCTGGCTTGCAAAACTGATTTTGATAGTGTTCTCTGTTCAGGTTGAAGGTAATGAAATGTTCCCTGTCCTTCCTCATAAACTATGAGACCTCATAGTGGAAATGAAAGTGATTTGTGAGAAGCAAGGCCAAGGGAACACAGTTAAATTTAAAAAGTAGTTTTTCTAATTCCTGTTAGAATTTGTATCTTGCCTGTTAGTGAAACTTTTCCTACTAATGAAACTATTCCCTATAAGAGAATGAATATAGGCAAAGTGGTACGGATTGCCATATTACCGTCAAAGGTATGATGGTTTATTTGGAAAATTCTATTACGTACTATAAGCTAGAGCAGGTGAGTTAAGAATAATTACTTGTGCAATCCTAAAAAGTGGCATAGTGCCTTTAGAGCATAGAACATTGCTTTCAGGAGACTTTGCAGGAGGCTAATGATCCGAACAGTGGCTTGTCTTACTTAAAAGTGTGACAGGAACCCTGACCCGTCCTAGAACCTGTGAGCGCTGCTCTCTGGTAAATGCGTGGTTTCTCTGGTTGACAGGTGTAGCGGGGTCGAGCACTTTATTTTGGAAGTCATCGGGCGCCTGCCTGACATGGAGATGGTGATCAACGTACGAGATTATCCTCAGGTTCCTAAATGGATGGAGCCGGCCATCCCAGTCTTCTCCTTCAGTAAGGTAAGTACAGAAAGAACCATGTGGGGCGTGGAGGTGGTCCTCTAGGGTCTGAGCAGAAGGTCGCTGTCTTATGGCAGAGGCTGATGGGTAATAGTGAGGATGAGCCCAAGGTCCAGGAGCAAGTCGGTATCCCTGGTAGCTTCATGGTAGTTGAGCAGTTAAGACCGAGATGACGACATCAAGGACCTGCAAGTAATGTGAGTAAATTAAAGTGTCTGAACGGATTGGGATCAAGGTGAGGGAGTGAGAGGCCAGAGAAACTATAAGATGTTGGAGGCAGGACTCAGAGATCCACAGAGCATGGCAGAGAAGGGTCTAAGAAAGCTCATGAGCGTGGAGTGAAAGAACACCTTCATGCAAAAAATGTTTACGGAGCTGCTCAGTGTATACATCAGCTATAGTGCTGGGTATTATCTGTTCTATTTGTCACCATGGCCTGGGGACCCGGCATGGCTGACAATGAACCTGAAGATAATTCTATTAACTCCACATGGTTTGTGTCTAAGCGCATTGAGGGGATAGGCCTGGGATGACCAAGAGGTCTATGTGAGGGGCTGATCTTTGGGTGTTGTTGTGGAGAAGAGGAGAGCCTGGGACATACCTGTGGGCTTGGAGAACATGGGGCAGTGTAAATCTTGTTAGTGTTCAGGGTCATGCAAATGGTGAATTTGTAGGGACAGACCTCGGTTCCCTAGAGTCTAGGTACTGAAAGTATATGGGGGTGGGATGCAGAGGCTAGCAAAGAGCCCAGAGAAAACCCCATAGACTGGGAAAAAGAACATATCTCAAATTTGGTTTCTTCAAAGCAAGGGACCTTCTCTCCCACCATTCCTTTATTTTTATTTATTTATTTATTTATTTATTTATTTATTTATTTATTTATTTTTAAGTTTGTTATGGGATCCATGTATTCACCAAAGTGAGAAATCACACCCCAAGGGGGATGGCCATACCGCAGTCCCTTCTCCTCCCTTCTTCTTGGGATTTTGGGCATGCATATTCACATGCCTGGTGTAATTTTTAAGCCACCAGGTCTGGGGCTCAAACAGTGGTTGACCATGTGCAAGTCCAGTGCCTAAACCACCATGTCACCTGCTGGCTGCTCAGTGTCAGAATTTTAACAAAAGTAAACATAAAAAGGAAACAAATGGTTTCAAACTTTCTTCAAAAGGTATGTGGTGAGACCAGCAGGTGGCATAATGGTTACGTCACTGCACTCCCATGTAGCCAACTGAAATTCGAGTCTTAGACCCAGTGGCTTCAAATTCACGTTGGGCACATGTGCATGGGTGCCCAAAATCCAGAGAGGAAAACGGAGAAGGGATTGTGGCATGGCTATCCCCCTAGGGGATGACGTCTCACTTTCTGTCTTTCTGTCTTTCTTTCTCTCCATTAAGCCCGCATGCTCTATAACAAAAATCTCTCTTTAAAAAAAAGAAGACATGTAGTAACACCCCTTCTCTTTCCCCTATTGTGCCCATTGGCACTTCTGGCCCAGATCAATGAATGACCAAGAATTAATTGACTAACCAGTGAGAGCTCAACAGTGCCAAGGTGTGAGATAACACTAACTAGGCTTCCCAGTGCTCACTACACCAGACACCGTTCTGAGCTTCTCACGTGTATTATCTCACTTAATATTCTGAGTAAGCCTACTAGATAGTATTACTGGTATTGTTTCCCCCGTTACAATGACAAGGAAATCGAGGCATAGAAAGATGAAGTAAGTTGGGGCCAGCAGGTGGCATGGTGGTTGTGGCGCTGGACTCCCACATGGCTGACTGCAGTTCAGGTCCCAAACCTGGCAATTTGCTTTCTCACTTTCTCCCTCTCTTTCTCTGTCTCTCTGGTGAGCATGTGTGTCCTGTAGCAAATTATAAAATAATAATACTGGTGACTAAAATTAAATGAGTGATTCTTTAAAAAGATTAAGTAACTTGCCTGGAACTGTAAAGAGGTAAATCAGCATTCAAACTCATATTATCTGCCTCTTACTTATCGCACTGTATTTCCTGGTTTTACTCTCAAAAGGCCCGCAAAGACATAACCAAGCACTGGTATGACAAACCTGAACTCCAAGTGTAATAGCAGTTAAATGGCGAGTGAGCCGTGGAATTACTCAGAATCGGGTATATTATTTCCTTAAACTACAAACCATGTGCCAGCTCTGTATCCTGGTAGTTAAGGGGGTAGTATCCTACATGGCCAACCATGGTGTAAAATGGTGTAAATCTACTGGCCCCAGGGGCTTGCGAAAACGTGCCAGGCGTGTGTGCCCAGAATCTCAATTGGATAGAAAAACAGAAGGAGAGAGCATGACTACACTCAATTGAGGGGGGGGTGCTTTCTTCCTCTCTCTTTCTCTGGTGAGTGCATGCACCCTCTGGCCAATAAATAAATAAATATATGAATAAGCTAAAAACCTTAGCAAAAACCTCTAGAAAAAAAAGAATTCTGAAGAACTAAGAAGGCTGATCTTTAATGTGATTCTAAATGACAGGATTCAGTGAGCCTATGAATTTTAATACATGATCACGTTTGCCTTTTAATACCTAGAGTCTAGGCTTGCAGACTAGAGAGAATTTGCCTGTGGCAGTGTGACACTAGATCAAGGCCTATGTCCAGATGCTGTGACACGAGACAGTTTGCTGCTTCTCTCTCTGTTCCGAGACTGATTTACGCGACGTTTCTGTTTCTGTCGAAGACGTCAGAGTACCACGATATTATGTATCCTGCTTGGACATTTTGGGAAGGGGGACCCGCTGTTTGGCCAATTTACCCTACAGGTCTTGGACGGTGGGACCTCTTCAGAGAAGACCTGTTAAGGTAGGTGCTTTAAAGAGTTTGCTTTTCTTCTTTCTGGGTTCTCTTGAAATAAGAAACAGAACATAACCAATTATTTACTATAAAATAGCTAACTTTTATGTAATTCAATGTAATATAAACAAGGTTATGAAGATAATAAATAAGTAAATTAATTAAATAACTAGCTTTTTAAGTTAAAAATAAAACTGCTTATATAGCAGAAACAACTTTGTATGTGTGTAAAAATATTTCATACCGATAGAAAAGGGCAGAAGAACTCTATCTCTATCCTAAATTATCAGCAGTGCATATATGGAAGGGATGATAGGGACTCTGTTTTCTCCTTTGAAGTTTTCTGTACTTTATGAGAGAGTGAGTGAGAGAGAGAGAGAGAAGGGAAAGGAAGAGAAGGGGAGGTAGAAGGAAAGGGAGAGCAACAGAGACAGGCTTTTTCTTTTCTTCCTTTTTTTTTTTTTTTTTTTTCCATAGGGCACAGTCCCTTTCGC